GCCCTGGCCCCAAAGTCTATTTCTGGTATTCCCTTTGGACTTACTTGCTCTGTTCCCTTTGCTGTTCTGTTGCACGCCCTTAGTGTTTTGCCTCGGTGTGGTGGGGTCAGATCGTGCACAATTCCCATATTGTTTCTCCAGTGTTGTCCCCTCTAGGGCTATGGGTCAGTGAGGGATGTCGTGTCTCATAGTGGGGCCGGCCATATGGTCCTCTCTGTGCATTGGCTGCTCTGAGCAGGGATATCGTCCCGGAGGCTTGGTGAGCCAGGATGTGCTTCACTCTCTCTTCCTCCCCCTTCATTTGCTCATGTGTGCTCTGACCCTCCTCTTTTCTAATCATGATGTCCTTTTTCAGGGAATGATCTCTCCTGATGACATGTCCAAAGTTTCGCCATCTTTGCTTCTAAGGAAGAGTATTCTGGTGTACTTCTTCTAAGAGGAATTTGTTTGTTCTTCTGAAAGAATACTTCCAATATTCTCTGCCAGTACCGCAATTCAAATGCATTGATTTCTCTTCTGTCTTCCTTTTTCACTGTCCAACTTTCACATATCTTGTGTTAGGCTTACCTTAGTTCAAAGGGGCATTCTTCCTCCTCAGCATTTTAAAGGCATTTTGTGCAGCAGATTTGCCCAATGATGGATATTGTTTGATTTCTTAACTGCTGCTTCCACGAGTGTTGGGGTTCTAAGCAAAATGAAATTCTAGACAAATTCTCTCTGTTCTCTCTTTGTCATGATATTGTCTATTAGTCCAGTTGTGAGGGTTTTGTTTTCTTTCCATTGAATTGCACTTGGTACTGAAGGCTGCAATCTGTGTTCTTCATTAGCAATTAGTTGAATTCCTCCTTGCTTTCTGTAAGCAAGGTTGTGTCATCTGCATATTTTAAGTTGTTAATGCTACTGATGTTTGTTTATTGCATTTTTGGAAGTAACAGCAAAGAAAAAGGAAAAAAGACCCTGAGTCTTATGGATAATTCATCGGTTGCCAGTATGTGGGGTTGGTAGAGATACAAGAACTGTTGAAGAGAATGTGTCAAGACAACGGGAACTTTAGTCTTGAATAGCCG